TTCAACCCAACTTGAGGGGGGAGTGTTGTAAGGCTTATTTAATTGTTACTTTATAGTTGTTGTTAGTAGGTTGTCCTCTTAAGATACTGTTAGTTAGTTATTTTTCCTTTTTTCCTTATTAGTTTGTTTCTAGGGTGTGCTGCCAGGGGCATACTTGTAATTTATATTCTTTTTTTTATTAAGTTACTATAAATAGTGAACTGGTGGCAGCCAGAGATAGTTTTTCTTTTTCTCTCAATCGTATCTCCCTTTCCTTCTCTTTCTCTCTCTCGTCTCCCACTCTCCATGAATGATTATAGGATACAAATGGGCAAAGAGATTAGTAGGTCAAATATAGTTTCACAATTGCTCTATAAAGAAACAAATGTGAGGTTAGAGATGCTAATTGAACCTTTTCTTTTGAAGGTTCTTGCAAGTATTGATTTTAACATGGAGCATCTCCAACTACAAATCCTAAAGAAGCACAAGTGAATGGACCAGTAAGATTATTAACAGTCCAAATTTTATTAGAAGCTTCAAGGAATACACTCTTGAAGGATTCAACAAGTGAGAAAACATCTGAAATTTCAAAACCTCTTAAACCACTCCTTATATCTAGATCCTAGACTAATCCTTGCTTGGAACAGTTGACACAATGGGCGAGTAATTTTTCTTTGTGCATAGAGAATAATAAAGGACTTGAAATTTGTCCTTTAGGGGCAGTTCCCCACCAAAATTCTTCTGAAAATTCAGTTCTATTGCAAAAATGTAGGATGGATAGAGAAAACCTGACCTGATCCATTATTTTGGATTCAGATCTTAAAGCCAGCATCCATTTAACAATTTGATCAGATGTGGATTTGACCTCATCTGATCTGATTAACATCCAAGTCCTATTAAGATATTATCATGTATGTATGTAACAGCAAAGCGGTTTCAGATTAAATCTGAATGTAATCCAAGTCTGACATTTCAGATTTGGATTTGAAGTTTCAATAATCGGACTAGATTTGGGTGTATATGGATCCTATCAAAATTGTTTTGCCTATTGGTATCTCTCTCTCTCTCTCAAATTGTTTAATCTTAAGCAACATGTAGTCCTATTTATTAGTGGGAGGTTGGAATCGAAATCATTACTTCCATGATAGTAGTCGAGTAGGACTGCAATCAGTCCTAGGTATAATGTGTAATAAACAAAGAAAAACAGATTGAGAAAGAGAGAAGAAGAGAGAGAGAAGAAGAGAAGGAGAACACGAAGAGGAGAATTCAGAAAGAGTGTGGTTGACTAGAATTGTCGCCCCACTCAACTATTTATATTAATAATCCAATAAAGGGTAAAAGGGCTGAATTACCCCTACTGCTTACATGGCAAAAAGAAATAATAACTACTAACTGAAACTAACTACCATCATAAATAAGCAAACAACAGTGGGGACTACATAAATAACATAGTGGGGACCACATTAATGTTCTCTACAGTTTATACCTGGAGGGAGGGAATGGGTCAAGCTTGTGTTACATAATTTCACTAGCAGTAATGGGTCATGCTGTTCTCATTGTCTGCAACAGGTTCATATTATCATATACAATCCATACAGTGAAATAATCTACTCAAAGCTTGAAGTCTATAAGTGGAACCCTCAGTTTTTTTTCTTTTCTTTTTACCTTTGACCAAGAAATACGTCCGTCAGTTTCAATATGCATGTAATGTAAATCCTGTGGTTATAAGAGGTATGTGATTACTATGCTTAACTGCTGTCTCCACAGATTACAGAGATTAAGTGATTTGTGATTCTTATGGCACAGGAAAGGCTGAACAGGTCTTTAATGGTTTGCCAAGACAAGTTTGAGGCCGCAAAGCTTAAACAGATAAAGACTGGGGCAATGAATGATTTGGAGTCATGTGTTGAGGAAGCAATCCAAGGAAGCATCCAACTATTGCCACATGTTGTTGATCAGTTGAAGGCTTCCTTGTCCATTGATGGATAAATCATTGGAAATCTTGGGAAACTATCTCTTTCCCTTTCTATTCATGTTTTTTTGTACTGTTAACGAAATGAAAAATGATGATATCATGCCATACAGTGAAACAACCTGATTTTTCTGATTTTTCAGCAAAGAAAACCCAGATGAAATAAAGACATATTTTGATCAGGCCTAGCTGAATTTTGGTTTATTTCCCAGAATTAGATTGTTGGCAGTCTTATCTAGGAACATGCAAGTTTTTGACTAATGGGTAGGTAAACTTATTGACCCTGCGGGTTGAGGTAGAGTCTGGTTTGGGTTACAAAAATTTGGATACAGAGTAACATGTGGTAGAATTCTTACTGGGTTCTGAAGTTGAAGGTGCTTACTTCTTAGAGATTACATGGGAGCTATTGACTGTATCCTTGCAAATCAGAATGCCTCTAGGTCAGAGGCTCATCAGTCATCATAATGTCACCAAGCCGTGAGAAGAAGCTCTAAGTATTTCTCAATCAAATGGATCAGCTAATTCCTCGTTTCGTTGTGATTTATGAGGATTTGTTAAAGAGGATGTTAATAGCTAGTTATGGAGAAAATGCCTTGGGCTAGTATGTTCTCACATCGCCATTCTTCACACCTGCCAGAAAGAGTAAAAGAAGAGAGGCACTTCGAACGTTTTGGATTATCCATTCCCACCCGGAATGAAAAACAATTATTTATCAACCAATCAGGATTATTTATCAACCAATCAGGATGCCAATCCGCCCATAATCCCATGGGAGAACTGAGAAGCCAACCAAATCATCCTCGGTTACAGAGCAATGAGATTTTTCATTGCCATAGTCCCCTCAAGCGATTCTTCACCATCATGATAGAGGCTGCATGAGGTATCCACTTGGGCTCCATCTATCCTCAACTCAACATTAAAGGTCTGTTCGGTTCGCAGTTGGAATTGGAAGGCAATTCCCTCAAACGGAAATGGGATTCCAATTATGCTCAATCCAACGGTTGAAATTGGAACTGGCCATTCCAATTTTATTAAGTTTATTATTTATTGAGAACAAATCCTACTCCTTTTATTGTTACATGTGATTAGTAATAGAAAGACATAAGACTACAAGCGAAAATGGAATCATCTAGGGGTCCAACTTGGGCGGGCGTAGCCCAAGCCCGAACCGGCCCAACCTAAAATTTATACGGGCTGGGCTCGGGTCCAAGAAGTTGGACTTTTTATTTTTCAGGCCGGGCCCGGGCTAACTATAGACATTTATATTTACATAGGTGTATACACATAAATTTTGCATACATATATACATATACGTACATGCATACATTTGTATACATATTTACCTATATCTTTTTTGAAGGCTTCAATCATGTTTCATTCATTCAAGAGATTGATACAAATAGATGCCAATAAGGTCAAGTAAAGTTCAGAGACAAATTCTCAAGAAGAACAAAACAAAGAGATGGATGTAGAAAAATCGGAAGAACTTCTGCAACCAAAGCAAGGTGACTTATCATCACCAACAGAAGTGGATAAGTATAACTCCAAACCACCATAACTGGAAAGCAAACTGACAAGAGCCGTTTCCAACTAAAACGAAAACTAACAGAGGAGGTTACAAAGCCACAAGCCATGATCTGTAACTTCCAACTACTCCAAACCAAACGGAAAAAGACAACAACATCTGTAATTGTCACCCAGCACACTGGAGAACTGTTGACTACGAGTTGCCATCCAAAGAATGCCGGAGATCTGTAACGTCCATCCACAACGCTGAAAAACAGTAACTGCCATCCGAAATGCTAGGGAACTGAAATTTCCATCAAGACGTCGAAGCACTATCACTGCCATTCTGGACGCCAAAGAATTGTAACTGCCTTCCAAGGCGTTAGAGACGGCAAAACAAGTGGCAATTTCCACCAGTGATTTTCGTAGAAAGGAGACTAGAGCAAGGACTCCATATCAAAATGTCCACAGAAAGAAAGCAAACATAGAAAATAGGGAAGAAGAGAGAAACAGAGGTAATAAGGAGAGATAAAGGAACAAACGAACAAATGGGAAAAGGGAGAAAAGGAGAACAAAAGAACAGAAAAATGAAAAAACAAAAGAACTTACAGAAGGAGAACAGAAAAGGAAAAACAAGAAAACAGATGAAGCACATAAATAGAGAACAAACTAACATATGGGAACAAGGGAAACAAGAAAATAGATGAAGCACAGAAATAGAGAACAAACTAACATATGGGAACAGGGGAAAAAAAGAGAACAAAAGGACAAAGAAAAAAAACAAGGAAACGAACAGAGAAACAAACAAAACACCAAAAGGAAAAGAAAACATCGAGGGATCTTGAGAGTAAGCCTCTTTGGAAACAGAGAGAGGAGGGGGGGGAGCAAACTTCTATATGGTGGACTATGAACAGAAGAGAGACAGGGGAAAGAGTACTTCACACCTTGAATTGATTGGGGGGGGGGTCACCCCTAGCAAACTTCTAAACGGCGGACAAGGAACAAATGAGAGACGGGGAAAGAAGAAATGTTTAGTTCTCTAAACTTCAGAGTAAACGGTTAGAATAGGTTCATTGACCACCCTGAGCCCGACCCGAGTGCATCAAATTACAGTACATGCTGGGCTTGGGTTGAAAAAATCGGGGTTGACCTAGGTTCCGGTCCGGGCTTGGGCCTTAAGCCCAAATTTTAGGGTCAGACCCGGGTTGACCATAAACCCGGCCCAACCTGCCTGAGTTGCACCCCTAGAATCATCAAGCCTTCATCATCACTCTTGCCTCAGATTCTTTGCCTCAAACTTGTCAATGGCTACCTGCAACTCATCTATACCCCTAAGATCCCTCATGGTGTAGAAATAAACCCCAAACATATTCTTTCTCCTTGGTTTAGCATATTGCTGAAGTAGTTTTTGTTATAAGCAATATCCTCCCTATGAGGAATTGAAGCCATTCAGGTGTCACAATAAAGAAATAAAGCATATGCATATTTCATTTTGAGTATCCTCATGAAATTTTTATGTTATAATTTGAGTATCACAAGCAGGACCGGTTTTGCTTGGACCCGTTTAAATCAAAATCATTTTGCATGGATTGGACAGACCAATAAGACATATTGAATTGGCCCAGTATGGTCCAAAGTATATTTTGGATTGGATTGGGCTAGGCCCATCCATAATGGATTTATATTGGATTGGGTTAGATTGAACCAATATCTAGTCCATTAATAGAAGATAAGAACACAGGTGTCAATAGACCTGATTTGGATTGGAACCAATTTGAACAAATTGGATGGTCCAGGCATTGATTGGATTGGTCTAAAATGGTCTAGAGTATTATTCATCAGATTCGATTGGACCTGGTCCATCTTTAATGGACTCATTCTGGATCGGATCGGATTGGGCCAAACCAGGTCCAATTGACACCCCTAAATCCTTTCAACAACTTAATGCACCCTAATTATGCTTCTTCAAAATGTCTCTATGTCTTCAAATTGATGCTTGATAGGTGATTAATCTAAAGGAAAGATCATGTGAGGTGGACATTCTTGTATGTATATGGATTAAAAAATAATATAAAAAACAAAGAATTAATTAAAACAATCGGACTCTCTAATATTGTATATTCGTCATATTAAACAAAAATAAATATGATAGATAAAAATTATTTTTTTTTATGAAGATTGCATTTATTTGCAATACAAACATAAATATGTACTCTTTTTCGGTTAATAGATGCAAAATGGTTCACAGTTGCAATTCCATTTTGTTCTTTTCTTGTTTGTTTCAAATTGATGCAAAAGGCTGTACGGTGGTCTCTCTCACACTCAATCGGCGGAATAAATGAAAAATATAATTTTGTATAAAAAAATTGGATACAGTAATACACTCTCCTCATGATACGAAAATGTCAGAAAAGACATTTTTACATCCTTAATCGTTGCATTTTTGTATGGCAAACAAACACTCACAAATCTGAACTAGGGTACATAAATACCCTGGTTTGACGTTTGTATCGATCGCAAACAAATGCAGTCTAATGATAAAAACGAAATACAAAATATAAAGACAACAAATTTGGTACACCATGATTTAATTACTTGTCATTGTTACATGAATCCTGATAAAAAGATTGAGATTACTATTATTATTATCTGAAATTACCATGTGTAAAGCAAGTACATGAATAAAAACGTAAAGGATGAAGTATCCTATTATTTCTTTGAACGAATTGGGATTTATTCCTCACAGAGTGCACCTCACATTGGCTTCACAATACATCCCACCATGTATTAGAAACATCTCCTTTGAATAAAAACACGCAAGTACAGAAAATATTCCCGATGTGCGGCTGGAACACGCTGTGAGGAGCATGGTTCAAAGTATTGGTGTAATACACCTCTGTATATCAGCAGAGGTGTATCGACACTTTGAAGTTTGAACGAATCCCCCCTTTCCCTTAGTGTTTTTTTTTTTTTTTTAAGTTTTAGTTTTAAATATAGTTATATATATTATTTTAAAAAAGAATGAATTGCCAATACACTTGTTCGGAAAGATAGAATAGATACACTTGATACGGGGTATATCATATGGAAATTTTGATCCTTAGTGAGGAAGAGATCCAGACTCTTTTTGAACTATTAGACAATCAATAGGATAGGAGGGTTCCATGGCGATGGCACAGAGGCCTTCCTTGGTAGCAACATCTCTCTCCATTCTGACATACCCTCCTTCCCCCCAACTAGTACCCCATGAATTCTTCACCAGTCAATACTTGGTGCCAATATTGCTTGTCCCATAGGTAACCACAGTCACAACATGGTCTATGTTGGTTCCACACTCCCCAGCGAAGATGCCGCTTGAGTAGAATTGGAAATCAAAGCCACTTGAATCTATCCCGACCGAAACTGGTTGATTGGAAACAGCCTTCAGCAACGCCATCTCATCGTCGGCCGGGAGGAGACTTCGTATCCACTGATCGTAGCTGCCGGCAAAGCCAACTCTTTCGGTCGTCGACACCTTGAGCTTGCTTGTATGGGTAGCTGGTGGCTTCAGTGGCGAGGCCGTGTTGTTGGATGAATTGGAAGCGCTGTCCACGAAACCACCGCTGCATCCCTGGTTTTGACCGGCGGTGTCACAGTCTATTAGCTCTTGCTAGGAGAGAGCTAATTAATAGATGATTACTAGTAAGGAGTCTGCATTT